CCGCTTTTAAGGCCAGAGGTTTAGTCCTCTTGATCTGAGATCTATTGTAGTTTTCCGCAGTTTGCGTTCTACGTAATAATCTGAAAGGCCAATCTTAGTGTCATTCATCCGTGTAAAATATTCGAAGTTAGCTCTTATTTAGATTTAGTCAGTTAGTAGTTCTTATATTTTTACGTTGAGACCACAAGTGATTGGTCTATGTATCTCGAAGTGCGAGAGCACCTGTAAAGTGTGGAAAATAAAGGGTCAATTTAACCCTTCCTACTTGTGTCGTCTATTCCACACAGACACGAATATAACTTGAGTGAGCTTCCTGTTCTCATTCAGGATATTAGATGTTTCCCAAGGAAATTAGAAGGAATAGTAGTCCTGATAAGGAGATTCGAATGTTTTCTTTACACGGTCCACTCTGACAAATATATGTGAACATAAACCTAAATCCATATGGCAAAATAATTTTTAAACATAATTGGTTTTAATTTTTCCGTTTGCTTTTGCAGTTCCCTAGTGAAAATATCTGGTTCTAATTTGGTTTTGGGTTCTTGAAAGAATCATCGTAGCTTCAGTGATTTACCATAAACCATTTCTGTAATGGAGCAGTTGGTATCATCATGTAGAAATGTGCTTATACCAAGAAGTATAGTAAGTAAAGTTTCACTCCATTTGACTGAACTGTGAGCTCTAATGGCTGCTTTTAATATTATGTCTTGTCTTTCAGTTTTTCCGTTGCATTGTGGATGGTATGAAGTTGTTTGCCTAAACTTCTGAAAACCACAAATAATGCCTAAACTTCTGAAAACCACAGATAATGCCTAAACTTCTGAAAAGCTCTGATCTAAACTGAATTCCTCTGTCTGTGATCATGCTGTATGGAACAACAAAGCGACAAATCAAATTTGCATAAAATGCTTTTGTGATCGTTTCTGTAGTAATATTTATATCGGTATGTAACTTCCTTCCAGCAAGTAAAACGATCGATACATGTTAAGCAATATTTATTCCCATTTGATGGAGGGTAGAGTCAAACTATATCGATATAGGCAATTCAGGTTCTTCAAATGAGTTGAATTTGGAATGTGGGTGCCGAATAATTTTATTTTGCTGACAAATAATGCAAGTTTTAGCTCATTCTATAACATCTTTTTTAATATTCTTCTAAATGTACCTTAATATTACTTGTTTCACTGATGTTTTGATGCCAGTATGGTTCAGGTCATGTATTTTGTGTAAGCATTCATTCGAAATGATTGTGGTATAAACGGTCAAATCTTTAAAGTTGAAGCCTCACACCAGATGAGTTTTCTAAAGGGTAGTGAGTATCGTTTAAAATATAAATTTTTGCTATTATTTAGTAATTCTTCTTTAGAGTTCTTCCTTATTGATTTATTAGTCCGCAATTTTGTCATAATTCATATCTGAAACGAATTCATTCCTAGATATCGAATCTGCAACAGTATTATCTTTCCCAGTCATATATTTTATATTTGTTGAAAATTGAGAAATACACTGGAGCTGTTTTAATCATCTTGGTGATGCTTTGTCATTTTTCTCTTAAAGTGATCTGTGAATATTGTGAATTCTCGTCCTTCAAGCACATGTTTAAATTGTTTGATGGGCAGATAGATACTTAAAATACGGTCATATGTCCTAATTATACGGTCATATGTGCTATAAGCCTCCTGAATGTCACTTAACATTTTGAAATAGAATGCTATTGGTTTCCAATCTCCGTCTTCATATGGCTATAGAACAGGTCCAATTGCAAACTTAGAGGCGGGCCCACCAGCGGCCGAGCGGTAAAGTCGCTGAACACTGGTAGTTCGGTCCGAGGTTCGAATCCCGCAAAACGGGCTGGCTGCATGGGCGTTTTCGTGGTTTTCCCCATGTGTAACGTGTATACGAGCCAGTTTCCCTTAGAAAGTCCTCCACGAAGGCATCCCTCCCCTTAGGCAGATAGCCCTCGAGGCTTTGCCATAATCACACACACAAACTTCGAGGCGTCTATACATAAACTAGATGTATATTAGGAAAGATTAATAAAGCAGCATTGGTTAAATCTTCTTTGCATTTTTCAAAGTAATTCTTTTGCTTCCTCTGTCCATGGAATTTTCCTTCGATCGTTTTTGTTGAATCTTTTAAATATTCATTTAAGGAAGCTTGGGTATTAGCTGCATCGTTTAAGTATCTTCTGTGAAAGTTAGTCATTCCTAAAAATTCACGAAGTTAGCTAATAGTTTTAGGAAGTTTGTAATTTGTTATGGCTTGTACTTTTTCTCTGAATTCTATTGAATACTTTCGTAAGATGGTTTTTATACTGCTCCTTTGTTTCTGACGCTTATAGGATGCCATCCAAATACCGAAACGTAAAGTATGGTACATTGAAAACTGTATTAAGAAAAGTGAAGGGCACATTTTTCAAGCCAAAACACATTACGTGCAATGGTCAAAAATTGCAAATGATTTTATTATCTCTGTTTTTTTATTTATCTTATTCTGCTATTGGGATTTGGTAATAAGCTTTAAGTAAATCAAGTTTAGAAAATATCTTCTTGCCTCTTAAAATATGATGGAATCTTCAATTTAGGGTAAAGGATAGCGATCTGGTACTATGATATCATTTAACGGCTTTGATCTCCGCAGGATCTCAGAGTGCCGTCTGATTTTGTGACTAAATTAATTGTGCTTGCCCATTGGTGATTTTAAAGGTCTGATAATATCATTTTGAAGCATAAAGTTGAATTCTTGTTTGGCTATTTTCTAATCATTTAGGATCTAACTGTCTTGCTTTTGAATAAACTGGTGTGCCATTAGTAGTAGTTATATAATGCTCAGCATTGTGTTATTTTTCAGACATTAATAAATTAGATTTTGTTATTTCCGGATATTGTGTCAAAATATCATAACATTTATTATTTTTGTTTAAGGTCCTTATATTTGATTCATCGGCTGACGATGTAATTGCGCCAATAATTATCAGTTTAGTTACACCAACACTTAATTTCTTTTTTTATATCAATAATAAATTAAATCAGTTAAGAAAATCTGCACCCAAAATATCTTTATTGACTATGGCTGCTTTAAATGGCCACTAAAAATTATGCAGAAATCCCAAATCAAGAGTTTCCTGCCCGAAAGATAGAATTTCAGTACCATTTGCAGGATACAGTCGCCACTTATTTTGCCTTTACACGTAGCTGGAATTAAACTTACATCGTACTGCTAACCAAAAATTTTAATTACTGTTTTAAAGGGGTTTTTTTTTTTTTTTTTTTTTTTTTTTTTTTTTGTCCAGAAGGATTATTAATTTCGTTTGGGCATTTTGCGTTGAAAACTATAAACGGCGAATCACTTTTCAAATCGTTGCCACCAAATTTTAGCGACTAGTATTATATTTAAAGAAATTAAATAATGAAGAATCTGCATGAATGTATGTATGTTTCTCGCGTTGTGATAAAAACAATGCCATCAAAATTACCATAGCCAGTACCTAGAGCCATCAAAATTTGAATAACGTAATCTTCCACAGAATATGGGCATGTGGAAGCCCTAATTTGAATTTGAAATTTGTTTTATTATCGATTTCATATTTTGCAACACTTCAACGAATTTTTGATTAAAAAACTAAACGATTTCAAAGCAAGCAATGGCAACTCTGTACGAAAAGTAAAAAACATTTTTATCTCCAGCGCGCCAGAAACGTGTATCGAAACTAAAGATATGCTCATTTTAAAATTTTTTTGCGATATTGTTGTTAAATTGAGTTTTACGGTTTGAGTACGTAGAACATGATATTTAATAAATAAAAGTAACACACAATACGTTAAAAAAAAAAAGGCCCCTTTGAAAGTAATTTAAAATCTTGCAGACACTTTTTTTTTTTTTTTTTTTGTCAATTAAAAAAAAAATCTATAATTGGATTCAAGGTAATTATTTAAATCTTTAGCAGTAAAACCGGATGCGGCCGCTAGTTCGGATTATGCTGCGCAGGCAAATTTTCCTTGTTTTTCCAGTTACGTTGGTGGCTTACATTTTTCCAGAAAGCATCTTGATCCGAAAATAAAGAAGTAATAACACAGAGCATCCGAATTGCAACGCCTCCGACTTCTGCCTCGAGACAATGATTGTTATTTCTTTCTGTACAACTTCTTTCATTTGGCTGATGATGGAAATGGAGCTCTTCAAACCGCCGTTACAACGAAGATTATCTTCTCCAGTAACTGTGAAATGGTAATCTTCGATGCTCTCGAATTCTTACCTTCTGTTAAATAAGCATCATATACTTCAATCTGTGAATGCATGTCAAAATTCTTATCAGCCATAATCGCCAATTTATCAATACCTTCATCACTAACATCAATATCTGTTTAAAATTGTGCGCCAATTTTTTAGTCCATAATATTTTTAATACTATGTTGAAAATATCGTTGGTTGCCAAGGATTTCAATAATGAGCACCGTTTGACTGGTTTTCTGTATTCTCGCTATTTGCCATAATGGTTACCGTTACTAACGCAGGTCACCAATAAATGTAGCGGTTGCTACATTAAAAAAAAAACGCTATTTATGTGTTTACGAATAACTTTTCACTCTATATTTTAACGAAAATTATTTATTACTTTTCAGACATTGATCTTCTGAAACAACGTTATTATTCTAAAACATATAACTATATTTTTACCGTTGCCATTCCAGTCTACATAAAGTCGTAGAAACAAAAAGATTACATTTCGTTTGTAGAGGTTACAAGCTGTCACTTTAACTGGCATTACCTTTTATAACTTGAGAAATTAAGTAAATATGAACGTCAAATAATAATTTATACTTAAGTGAATATCTTAGAAATTTATTGCATAAGTATATTTTTATTGATTATATCTCTGGAAATTAAGGTTTTCTGGCAAATTGAATTTTCACTGAAGTTGAAATTTTGTACGATATTTCATGGCATCTAATACAAACTCACCTTCAGGGATAATTTCGTAAAAAGAGCTCAATATTTACATGTTAGAATGAGGAGTAAATTATACTTATTTTATATTATAATTTGTTTTTCGTCAAATCATTTCAGGACTGTATCTCCAAATGTAATTCAAAGAAAAATGGTACGTTAGCTTCATCTCATTACTAGACATCTTAAAAAAAATTATTTGTTGTTCTATTTTTAGTAATCAAACCGTAATATAACACAACGATTTAACGTATTCTTGCCGAAAACTGAAATTTTGTGATTAGGTGATTTTTTAGATTAAGTCTAGAGTATGCTGTAGTTAATTTTTATGGCTTATTTTCGCTTTACAAATTTTGTTTATATAGCGAATTTTTCATGTTTTTAGTTGAAATCTCTTTTTGATAGAATCCTAGTAGACGGTATTGCCTTGGTGCGGTTCAGAAAATTTTCGCCAACACCAAAATGACTCGGTTACTGCTCATTATAAATACCACATTTAGTGCTCATCATAATATCGCCAAATCCGTGTGCACCGTAAACTAAGATTGAATCTTTTTTTTAATATCCATTTAATATTTCACCTGCGATTTTAATCATATCAACTTCTAAATACACTTTTGCAAAGCTTTCATAAAACTATATGTTTCTTATTTTACATTTAAATATGATATCAGCAAATTTAAACTTTGCTTTCACTCAAAAGTGATATTTTTATGCATGCAGGTATATTTTGGGTGAAAGTTACTTTAAGTAATACGGCGTATGTGGGTGAGTCTGGCGCGATTTTTAAAATCCCGCCAAATATGTGGGCTAAAGCATATTTTCACCGTATATTTCAGTAGTCAAATAGCAAAGAATGAAACTCAAGGTATAATTGTTAAACTATTTCGGAGTATATCGTTTCAGAACAGTCATTCGGATTAAATGACGCAACTACCTTTGTGAATATGTAGATTTTTCAAATCTTAGTTAATTTGAGCGAGTTATGAATTCGATATTTCCTTGCGGAAGCCACCACTGCACATATATTTTACCAGACCTGGTGAACTTAACTGCTCAATTTGTTATATGAAAAAATTAGATGTCGTAAAGGCCTATGCGAAGACCGATTTACCCTAAATTCTTCAAGCATTCATCAATACAATTTCGATCATGACAGTTAAGAAAGTAGTTTGCGTAGTTTAATTGCTAAAATTTCGGTGAATTTCTAGCCTTATAAATATGAAAAGATGGAAAATGAGATAAATTAAACAGAAGATTAACTGGTACTTACGTATTTTCTCGTTGACCATAAAAACTGAAGCCAAACAATAGGATTTACCGCAAATTATGAATAAGTGGGACGGCATAATACTATCTCAACTTTCTTTTGATAACATTCCGATTAATTTTCGATAAACCACCTTCCATTTTCTTGAAAAAAGGCATAAAGTAACTGTTACTGCTCTATTTTGTTTTCCTTTTTTTCGGAAATAAGTGAATCCGAGGGCTGTAAACTCCCATTTGTGACTGCACTTCCGTTCATTTGCATTGGTCGAGAGAATTAACATATGTTGAATAGGGAAAAGAACAACTAAATGGGGCTAACGAAACAGTAATAGATTGGAACTATCAGTACTCATAGTAATACTAAAGTTTATACTCATAAACGTTCCAAACAAAGCTTTCGGTAAAATCAGAGGGTCTAATAAAATAATAGAATTGGCGAAAGACTTTCTACAAAGAACGAAAACGATGCTCACAGAATACTTTCACAGAAGTTACTATTTGCTAGGTTGTGCAGAGAAACTGACAAATGAGTTTGCAAAACAAATGACTTCTGCAGACAGAAGTGTGACTCAGAATTGGCGCAATTTTGACGGGATCTACGCCAGTTTTCATGGTTCGAAGGCAGTAAACTTTCACGGTGTGCAGGATAATATATAAGTATCAAATAATTGATCAAAATAATCTAAATTATTTGGAGAAAATGCAGAATCGCACACTGCTTGGCGCGTTTTTAAGAACTGCACATACTCGATATCCCATTACACATCAACCTATTTTCACTTAAAAAAAAAAAAATCGCAGAAATGCACAAAAATGTCATTGCGCACTCTCTTGACTTTATACATGTACACATCGACCTATTTTCACTTGAAAAGTCAAAGAAAATTGACAAAAATCCAATTCTTCTTACTTTTATAAAAAGCGCCAAACAAACGCCAATCAAATAAGTGGGCGATTCTGCACTTTAGCCTTTTTAATTTTAAAAATATCAAATTTTAAAAACTAAGAATTTTTTATCATCTAAAGATAATTTCATCTAAAGATTTCATGAAACCCGAGATAAAATTCACTGAATATTTAATACCTTCAGATTTTTTATATTAATAAATTCAGATTTTTCCTAGTTTTCTTTCTGTGTAAGAATTTTTGTACCGTATCATTATTTTATTGTTCCAAAATAAGTTAATAAAGCTGTTATTCCGATGTTATACAGTTTCTTGGCATTCCTGAATTCTAAGACCTGTCTAAGTGGAAAAAAGTAAATAAATTATTTAAAGGAAATTGGTTTTATTTTATTTTATTTTATGTACTGAGTGCAGACCTTTAGTTGCACAGTTTTCCAAACATATTCCTGAAAATGTAAAGAATTAATGAGTAAAAAATGAATATAAAGAAGGTTTTTTTCCCTTTTTATCTCGGTTATGCATGCTGTTGGAGTAATTGTACCATAACGGTTAGCATAATCGTTTAGCAAACTTAAAATCCACGTTTCGATTACTGGCAAGATCGTAGATGATTTTTCGTGATTCTAACTTCTAACCTCGAACCACCTAAAAAAATAGTCTCAAAGCAGTGCTTAAATAAGCTTAACAATAATGCTTTAATTTCTCTACTGAAAAAAACTTCGATGAAATTTTATAATCAATAATATCACAATGAAAAGAATTTGAAAAGTAATTGTATAAGAACCACAAGACGATTATACGAGAAATTTTTCTCAAGTTGACAGCATTATTAATTTTTTACTTTATATTTTCCGAAAGCATATGAAAATTGTAAAATGATTAATTAAATATGAATTTTAACTGCCCAAATATAATTACAGGTATCCTCTTATAACATGGTTTCGCTGCCACACAATAAGAAAATTGCGGAAATCTCCATATATCACGGTAACATGATTTCATTCTACCTGGTTAATGAATACACATAAAAGATCTTTCATAACATTTCGATAGCACTACATTTATTTTAAATATTTGCAACAGTTAAGTCCTGTGATATCGTGTGAAATAAAATGACAATTCATCTATTCATAAAAACATAAAATAAATTCCGGAATACTTGCTTCTCTCACGTCGAAATTTTTGAAAAATTGAGTCGTGCCCATAATTTATACAATATGCATCTTCTGCCTTAAGTGTTCATTTGGTAGATTGCATAAGGTGCGTAATTGTGATTTTGGAAGAAACTCGTAAAAACATTTTTGTTATGCATTACGAATTTGCTTTGTCATTTTTAGGAGCAATTATGGCGAAATACTGTTTCAATCCCAGATTATGTCTGAAAGTAAGAAAACAACTTTTAAAAGAAAATTTATTTCTCTGAAGTTGGAAATACAAATTTTCAATCATATGTTAAAAGCAGAAGAAGCATCTCATGTTGCAAAAATTCTAAGTTTAAATGAGGCAGCAGAGAGAACGATTAAAAAAACATTTTGTTTTCAAACGTTTTCGAAACGCATTCCTCTATTTTGTGTTGACTATTAGTCTCGTAAAATACGGTTTCACACTGCACAATATTTTCTAGGTGCCTTCTACCATGTTATAGGTGAGATACTTATATATTCAATTCATCAACTTCCATTAAAGTCGCTCACAGAACGCCCAAAGTAAAATAACATACTTCTCCTTTTTCCAATAATTCTTTTACACCTGTTATTCTTTCAGAGCAGTCGTTCACAGTAATAATTATTGCTAGCCTTCATTGATAAGTAATATATATTATAACCGGATCTTGATAAAGCATTATTAACTACTTAGAAGCTTCAAATATCATTATACAGTATCACTTATATTCACATACTTATAGAAGCTGTTGAACTGAATTATAGTTTTTAGAACTAAATTTGTTTGAGGAATATTCAATAAAACCTTGTTCTCAACTGTCAATAATAGCGTTGAAACACTAATGAAGTATGCTTAAACTTCGTTGAAATGATTAGGCCCACACTATCGGTCATGGTACTTTCATAACCTGTCGTTGCGGTTATTCCGAAAAATTGACAAACTTAATTGCCAAATTCATAACGTGCAACTTTCATATAGGGACAAAACTTTATTTGGGTGTCACTTTCATGAGAAAGCAACTACTAAATTTCATATCAGTGAAATACGAATGATGTTTACACAATTTTAGAACAATTTCGATGCAAAAAAAAAATTTACAGGGCAAATATTTTGGAAAAACGTTTTGACAATAGCTTATTATTTGAAATAAAAAATATTATCTGCTACTTTTAAATTTAGTTTTCTTTTACAGCGGCGCATGTAAACAAGCTGCGGATTTAAGGATACGATTTTGAGCTTTCCGAAGAGAAATATTCCTATTCACAGTTCAAAAACACGGTATTAAAAGTTCCAAGTGCAAAACATACAAAATTATTAATCGTAACGGGAAAAATCTTCATGGTCACTCTACATCGAAAAAAGACTCCAGGTGAATATCTGAGAAAGATACATACTATTTCTAACGTTAAACAGTTAGTAACAAGAGGAAATCCGCCGATGCAGAAGTCAATAGCAATCTCTTAATACATCTCTAGCAACAAAAAAATAAAATAATAGACCAACATTTACAACTTAAAAAAAGCTAAAAAAACATACTGTTTTTCCGTTTTTGAGGTGGCAACAATATGTAGAACACTGTATGAAACCTCTTTAGCAAAAGACAAATGGAAATGCATTCTGATCCTTAATGGAGCATTAGTTTATCTAAATGACTGCAACACAAAAGGTCTATTTATTGTCTAAAACGAAACAAAAATATACACACTTGTTTCCGTCAGTAAAGAGAACATTTCAGTAATGTACTTATGACTGTCGCAGAACTATCTTACGATGGGAAAGTAAAAAAACGAAAATTGTGAGAAAAGTTAAAAGCAACTCAGCATACCACCAATAGAAAGTTTTATGCCTGATATTTACAGAAATAATTCTGTGTCTTGATCCCAATGACTTTCAAAGAGCGAAACTTCATCAATACAAAGCAGTAAGTAATTCTTCGAAAAGTACCACTTTATTCCTTGAAAAAAATGAAGGCTGATACAAATATTGCGTACATACCTTTTCAATGTATCCCTGGAAAGTCCCTGCTGACGTTTCGCCGTTGTGACTTTGATGTCTTAAAAAGAGTCCTTTCTTGATCTGAAATGTGTTCTTTCTAATCGCAGATTCACTACGATTCAGAGAATCGGGATAGTAACGGAAGAAATGTGGAAACCAATGCCTTGAAAATTTTACGGAAAGCACAATCCAGTCTTATAATCTAGAAAAAAGACTATCAAATCGAATATTTAAAAAATACTCTTTATATTTTAAACATTAATTTAACGACCCCGAAAGCGTTCTAAAAATGTGTAAAACCCTCTACATTTTAGCAAAGCTTATGTTAGTACATACTGAAACAAAACACGTTGCTTTTTTATTCAGCTGGGACGTCAGAGGTTGGTGATTTTATATTTAACAATACTTAAGAAGATGATTATTAATGAAATGCGGTAGCCTGCTTCGATACTGAAAGAAAAAAATCATATAACGAATATTGTCCGAATGTCGCCAATAAATCACTAAAGCAAACCTCATAACTCCCATGAAAGAAAATTAACCAATAAACTGGTTGGTACTGAATAAATATGGGAAATATTACAGTAATCGTAAAATTTTCTCTTTTCAATTTTAAATATGACTTACTTTTAATATGAATAATATTTGTTATGAAGTACTAGTATTTGACATTTTATCTTTTTCTAAAACGTAGTTATATCTCCGTACTAATCAATAGTTCTCATACTTAAATAATTAAGAAAATACTAGTGTACTTCCTTATCATTGCGGCCCCCGTTTTCTAAAACGGCGCCAATATCATCGATAAATCGCCATCGCAAACCATCATCATATGCTTGGAAGTCTTAACCATGATCACTTATAGTTTCCTCGTGAGAGTCCGACAAAAGCAAATGTTACCGTATTTGGTTTTTCATATAAATGGTTAACAATTAACGATCCTCACAATTCTCTCGTCAAGAACAGAGTTCTGTGTTGACGATGTACTGACGTATTTCTTTTCTTTTAAAAAATGTTTGAAATATTATATATTTGATTTACCGAGAAGATGCCACATCTTTCTTCCAAAAAAGATGCGTTTTACTTCGCATTCGAATATGCGAACGTAACAGATTGCACGGCATTTGAGCAGCAACGGGAAAAGAATATGATCAGAAGTTTCCAAAATACTGTTTGTAACATACCTGAGATTTATTTACTGTTGGCCAGAGGAACTGATGTAGTGGTTAGAGAAGCAAGTCAGACTTTACGAAAATACAGTTATTCGTTCAGTTTTATAAGAGAGATTTAGTTTTTATGTTTAATCTGACAACCAAACATTCAAATAGGTGGCCATGAAACTATGTGGAGATAAAGTAAATCTGTTCGTATGGAGAAAAACAAAGGATAAAAGTATATTTACGGGTACCCCTTGGCGAAAATTGTCGATTTTTGGCGGTACATGGATACCGAGTTTGTGCAGTCATTTCACTTGTTATTTTAACTTGTGTAGAGGTTATTTTTTCGCCTAAAATTGCTACACAAAGCCAAAATAACAAGACAAAGAATTGCCTAAATTCAGTATCCATCGACCTATTTTCACTTTAAAAAAATCCCAGAATTGCACAAACTTGGCATTGCGCGCTCCCTTGTACACATCGACCTATTTTCACTTAAAAAACCCTCAGGACATTGCACAAACTGGGCATTGCGCACTCCCTTTGTCCATGTACACATCGAACTATATTCACTTAAAAAATCAAAAAAGCAGCCAACAAAAAATATATAATCTCAATAAACTATATTTTAAATTAAACAATGAAACAACATAAAAAAAGGAAATTCATCTTTCCTTTCATAAAGGAAATACCCACTTACCTCATTTACGAATTAACACATCTTCAGTCAAAAAAAAATTCGGAACTACTCTGATATGCGCCCTCAAGTCGCCAAAATTGTTTGGAGAGAAACTCCACGCTGCCATATTGCTATCTAAATTTTGTGTCTACATTTCGAACTTTAAGCCGAAAATGTCTCCAAAAACACAATTTTTGAGAATGCAAAAACCACGTTTTGAACACACAATTTAAGCTAAAAATCCGAAACAAAAACAAAAAATTTAGATAACAAAATCGTAAAGTTTCTAACAAAAAATTATTTGACAAGAGTCCATGTACACAGCGATATGTTTTAACTTAAAAAAACATCTACAAATGGCACAATCTAGGCAACGAACGAATCTACGAACTACGCACACCTCGCTTTAATAAATTAACATAACAATAACAAATTTCAAAGAATACCATGTACACAACATCCTGTTTAAACTTAAAAAAAACATCTACGAATTGCACAATTTAGGCAACAAACGGATCTACGAACTACGCACACCTCACTTTAATAAATTAACATAACAACAATAAATTTCAAAGAATACCATGTATACAGCGTTCTGTTTCAACTTTAAAAAACATCTACGAATTGCACAATTTAGACGGTACGCACTAATCAACAAAATAACTAAAATAAATTTCAAACAATTCAAAAAAACAATTACAACAGAAATTCATACTGAAAAAACAATGAAGATAACATTCTACAAAATAAGAACAAGAATAAAATAAAATGCATTTACCATGAATTAATACTTTTTCGAACAGCAAATTCATACCGCCTTTAACATGCGGCCACGTAATCACTATCGTATTTATATGACAGTCAGACACACTATCCAGAAAATTCATATTACGGTTCACAAATAAATAAAATAACAAATAATCACAAATCCCTACTTCTATCATGCACATCCACTAAAAATAATCTCCCAGATCCTCTTTCCACACCTCCAAATACCCACAGCCCCTCAACAGGATGGCCACGACGATATTTCCTTTTGCCGAACTTCAATTCAACAACTTCCACCATTTTATCTTTTCCCCTAGCTTCTCAGACACAGAGCATGACGCGAACCAACGAACTCCAGCGAAAGATTTTTCAACGTCAACAGGGTTGCCATATAATACGCAATCGCGCCAAAACCAGCGCAGAACGCATATCGCCACATTTAGTGAAATTAGGGCGTATATCAGAGTTGTACCAAAAATTCTTTAACAGCATCCAAAAACTTCCTGAAATTATCTGAACTAGAATCTGTATACTGGCGTCGCCACATAAATTCACAAAATAAGAGTCAAAAATATTCTCCGCACCACCGTATCGTCCGAACATACGCATTTCCTTCCTACAAACAGAACACTTAATAATGGCTACTAAGTAAACCTTCATTTACACACCAAGTCAAGTAATGCTCTTTTCCCCTTTCTTTCCAAATCGTACAGAAACTTCAAATTAATATTACCATATTCAGCCCTTTACGGTCTAAACCAGAAAACAAGCAATGTACTTCCTAACCAATACATACGACAAGCCCTTACAAATTCACCGCGATTATGCAACCGATTACGTCATAATAGGGTTTCCATAACATTCAACTACTCAGACTACCATAAATAAACCACCACTTGGCGATAAATGAAACAACTTAGCGATAATACAAGAGGTACCCTTCTCTCTACTGTAACCAAACAAAGCCTACAGGGTTCTTCCATAGTACGAGATATTTAGCGGGTTATGCTGAGAAATTGTTGAATTCTTTCTCGCTCAGATTTCCGTATAGCGCAAACATGGCAACCGGCATAGCAACATAGCATAGCGTAAACATGGCAACCGCAAAATATACGTGAGAAGTAAGCATCAACTTAGCAATCAACGTTCTTAGCGTGAATTTCGTGTTTAAAAAAAACGGGGGCCGTAATAATAAGTACCGAAAATTATAAACAAAAATGTTTACTAATTTCTTTTTCTCCCCATAAGCCCTTAGCAACTGCAAGCTCTGTGATGACTATGGATGATGCGGATCTAGAATGGAAGAAGGAAGATCTTAGAGTTACACCCAATGAGACAGCCACCAGTTTAGATCCCTCGCTAATTCATGGGTCTAGTGAAATAGAAATCAAATATGACGGTACCAATAAAAATGCAGATTCAGAATTGAGGCCTTTTGGAACGTATATAATGAACAAAACTCAGTTAGCAGTGCCATCTCGCGAAAGCAAAGCATATCATAGAAATATTAAAAAATCTAATTCCTTTAAATCGCCAAAATTTACATTGACGTCTCTGGATAAAACAAAACGAGAAACGAATAGAGGTAAGCTTCGAAACGAGGAAAATTCTGATTACGATGGAAATGATAATAAAACTGAAATTTATTATAAAAAGAAATATCCCTCTGAATATCGGATGACTGACGAACCTTTCTCCAAGATTGATGATTCTGCTAATGTAAATAGGTGGAATAATAAGACTCAAAAAAAGTCAGATAGCAAAATACATATTTCTTTTACGGATAAAAACCACCAAAACATACGAGAAATTGAGATTACCGATAGCCCTTTCACCTCCAAAGGATCTATAGGCCTAGCTGGGTTTAAGATACCAGAAAGTGCTTTAGAGAAAATTACTTCTGAGTATGCTGATGAGAATACTACGCACCTGGATGAAATTAGATTACAAAAAAACAACAAAGATCGTATAATCATACGTAACATTACTGAGGTTTCCGCAGAAGAAAATCAGAATTATGATTACTCAACATTTGATTCTCCTCGTCAAAAAATGGGGAAAGCATTTATAAATAATACAGTTATCCAAGGATATTTATTTCATGACGACGGAAGGAGACGGTCGAAGACTGATACCAAAATGAATATCGAGAAATTAGGTCGAAAGTTACTGGAAATGTCGAAAAATAAACATTCATTGAAAAAAGAGGAAGATAAGTCTAAGGATGAAATTTTTATGGAACTTGAAAAATTTCTAAAGGAAATAGTTTCTAAAAACTTCACAAAACATAAGTCAAAACTGAAAGCACCTGAAGAAAAGTTAAACAGTATTGAAAATATCACATCACCTCTAAGTAATCAAAATATTAAAACGTATAAAAAGAGAGCTGAGAATCCAGGTGTAGTCTACATAAAGAATACGAAAGTATATAGCTCAAACGACTTTAATAAAGAAGAAAAATTATTAGAAAAGACACGGCATCTTTTAGCTGTTATTAGGAAAAAAATCTATGGTATAAATGCAAATCAAACAGTGTCTACCCATAAGTGGAATGAAATGCAAGGCATTTCTATTCCTACTGAAAGCAGCATATTTTCTAAAATGTCATCACAACAGAAGAACCTTGCAAAATTATTAATTAAAAAATTGAAACACTTTAAAGCGACAACCCCAAGCTGGACTGGAACCCAAGACATTCCTGTAAGAAATATTGTTGAAAGCAATTTATTCTCTAAAATATCACCAGAGTTAAAAGATGTAATACAAATATTAAGAGAAAAAACTAGACAGTTCCATCGGTTACAAGGAAATGCAAACAAAATACTTAAAAACAAGAATAAAGCTTCATTAATAGAAGAGGAATCAATAGATATCGACACCAAGAATAACACACTCAACAGCCGGTTAGATAAAGCTTTGATACAGCTTGCTCGAATAAAAACTATTAAATCAAACTCAGACAATATTAGGCCGGAAAAATCGGAATCCATTGCAAAATTAGAAGAAATTTTAGAAAATACTACCAATGCGCTTTTTGAATCCATAAAAGCTTTGGAAGGATATAACGTACATGGTGGTGAAATGGATATATCTGGTAATCGTAACATATCATCGCTCTTCATATTTATTCGGCTGTTTGGTGCGAATTTATTGGCTGAATTACGAAGAAGTTCCTTTCTGATCGAGAAATTTATCACAAACAACAATGGAACACTTCATGCAAATAATTTTCTGACAGACGTGAAAAGTCAGAATTTTTTATCCCGTTTCATTGTTGGGTTGCTGACTATAATATTTTTAATCCTAGTAATTATCATATCTGTTTTGTTCCGTCAGCGTTATATAAAGGAAAGAAGGCAGTTTGAAAGTAATCAATTTTCGTCATCATTCGCAGAAGATAAAGGTAATCAGGGACCACCAACAGCAGGGTTAAATATTTACAACTGCAGCGGGAACTCTGCTAATATGAAAGGAAAATGTGTACAAAAACAGAGCAACAATTATTTCAGAAGTACCAAAGGATTCGTTCCAAAAGGTAATTAAATAATTCACCATTTAAATTATTTCTGATCTGTTTGTCAAAACTTAATTTCAGTGCAATTATAAATGGTTTCAACATTATTTAAAAAGGAACTCCAACACATTTCGCATAAAGTTTTCGATTTTTATAAAGACCTTTTGTTAATAAGGGCCTTTTTACGATTACTTCGAATTCAGACTAGAGCAGATATATTAAAAAATTATAGTAGACAAAATACTGACTTCACGGTTCAGAATATTTTACACGTATAGATGTACTACTTATTTTTAAAAATTATGAATTTCGGTACTTTTCCGTTTCGTCGGCGCAAATCTCGCCAAGCAGACTTTATTGGCGACAACATACAGTATACACATAAAAAATATTTAAAAATATGTTAGTTCTAAGAATTCTTTTTAAAAAAGAAGGCATAAACATTTTAATATCGCTTAAAATTTTATAAAAAGCCAATAAATAAAGACAACAAATTTGTAAAAAGACATTAATTTAAGAATTTACTATGCTTTCATGGTTCAACATCCTGATTCGCCGGTTCATATCACGTGACCCCAAGCGATCTCATGTCACGTAAACTACTCTACAAAAATCTAATGCTCTCAGTAATTATCTACATTAATTTCATGTTAAATCTTAATTTGGAACACAAGTCTAAATGCAAGAAATATTTCAATTTCGTACGAATAACTTTCTCAGAAATTATGTAAAACTGCAGTGCTTTACTTCGCTAATGCATTCTCATTAGAATTGATGAATTTAACCCTTGACATTAACTTTTCTATATTTTCGGCTTCGGGTAAACGCTGTGATTGCATCCTAATTGACTTAATTGCCGAAAATTGCCTTAGACATAAAACTGAACTATCTGATAAAAATTCTATGTAATGATATGCCGGTATTGAAAGAAACAATCAATCTGATAAGAAAAAGCTGCGACTTGTTTTGAAAATGAGGCGTAAAAGGTTACCAGCGAGAACATTCCGTTTGGCATCGGTTGTACCATTATTGACGACTTTATCGCTTGCGCCGGCAAAACGGAAAAGTACCTGAATTTCATATCTATAAAATATTTCATTCAGCAATGCTATGTGGTAAAGCCCTTGATTGAGGGGAACAAACTACCAAAAGAGCCAAATTAGATATGAAAATTTTTAAATTCATTTAATAAATTGTGATTATTTACTTACTTGACGGAGACTACCTGGTTTATCCGTACCTCAGTAGTAGACAAAGGAAAAAAATTCGGTTTGAATCATACAACTCAACTTTCGGTAATCAATACATGTCTCTAATCTTTCTCAAAGACCTCTACTAAGGTTATGGGGGAAATGTAATCTGATTCTTCTGTCTCTTGGATAATTTCTTGAGCCGACCTCTTGTTTTCTCTTTTCTTCTTCCGCTTTCTAGGTTCATTGAGTATCACAACCGAAAAATCTCTTTTAATAGAGATTACATTTTGCTTGAAATCTAGTTTCACACTTTCGAAGTTACCTAGCTCCTTCGCTAACACAGCGGCGATTTAATTTTCCCCTTTTCATTTATGAATTTATCTTTAGTTTCGGTAGTCATGTCCCTTTTCGAATCGTGAGGTGCGTGACCATTAGTTTCTTCAGTTTATCAGAAGAATTCATTTCACACACTTTTATGCATCCATCAAAATAAGACTGCAGTACATAAAACGTTTCCCCTTAAATTGTTTGGCTTCTTTGTATGACTTGCAAATGTTTCTGGGTTTAAACGGTAATGATCCAACAAAACCACCTTGATTTTAGCTTATTCTCGTGTTTCTGTAGTCTTTTTGCAAATTATTATCTGCCCTACCTCCACTGGCAAAATAGCAATAAGGTGGGCTGTGCGTTCGGTTTCTCATAAAGCTCTGGATTCGATTTAGAGTTCAAAAAAGAGCTAAATATATATTAACATCGGTTACCTGGACATTCAATTTTGGCATGAATCTTTGCATTTTAATCATGTTTCGCTGAAATGGAATATCTGAAAGATTGGGAATGGATTTCCTAATACTACTCACGGTTGTAATTCTTTACTTCTTTTGCTTAAACTGCCTTTCTCTTCTCGCTGTCTCTTTCCCTCTCGATAACTGAAAGAGTGGCCTTAATTTTTTTTTTTTTTGTCCAAAGGGATTTGAATCCCGAAGGACTATTAGTTTCGTTTTGGCATTTTGCGTCGGACTCATAAATGTCGGTTCACTTTTCAAACTGTTGCCACAAAATGTTAGAGTCCTGCATTATATTTGAAGAAATTAAATAATGAAAAATCTGCATAAATGTATGTATATTTCTCGTATTGTGATAAAACAACGGTACATAGAATCATCGAATTTTGAATAACGTAATCCTCCAACGAATATGAGCATGTGGAAGACCAAATTTGAAATTTGTTTTATGATTGATTTCCTATTTTTTAAAACTTTGACGAATTTTTGATTAACAAACTCAAGGATTTCAAAGCGAGCAATGGCAACGTTGTGCAGAAAAACATTTTTATCTCCAGCGCGTGAGTCTCTGTATCGGAAATTCTAAAGATATGCTCGTTTTAAAACTATTTTGCGATATTGCTGTTGCACTGGATCTTATGGTTTAAGTGCGAGGAACATGATATTTAATAAAGAAAGGTAACACACAAAATGTTAAAAAACGCCCCTTTGGACGTAATTTAAAATCTGAAACATTTCAGATTTTGTTTTTTTTTTTTTTATTATTATTATTTTTTTTTATTTATTTATTTATTTATTTTTTTTTTTTTTTTTTTTTTTTTTTTTTGACCCGCAAGCGGCCAAGCGGTAAAAGCTGCTGAACAGTAGCAACTCGGTCCAGGGTTCGAGTCCCAACGAATGGGCTGGATGCATGTGCGCTTTCGTGGTTTTTCCCGTGTGCAACTTGGATATGAGCCAGTTTCCCTTTAAAATGGCCTCTCCACGGGGAATCCCTTCCCTTCCATGTAGTGCATAATGGCGGAGCACGGAATAAAAAAATAAAGACCTTTTCTTGTTGAAACCCTTCACTGTTTAGAAGTATATCGCTTAATTGTGCTTTTTTCATTCCCATATTTATATCAAGACCACAATTCTTAACTAATTAAAATAACTTAATGCTTGAATCTCAGTAAATACACCATTTTACTATTTCAGTAAGTTCTAAAGATTCTAGACATTAAATTCTAGACTTATTTAAAATACAATAATTCTAATAGATATAGATCTGTTTTAATATGCACTAACACTTCCTAAACTCTCAAAATTATACTCCAAAATACACATTTTCTTATACTGATAATCAAATTTACTAATTTACATCAATTCACAAAATAACACACAATGTATTGATAGTATGCATAAAAGATTGAACTTCACATCCAGTTATGATCCGCATTCAATATAATTCACCGTTAATATTAAGGATATTTCTAATAAGTAATTCACATATAATTACGTTCTCACTTTACTTAAATACATATTTTCTCTTACTGTAGTCTTGATTAGATTACTGAATTAATATACTTTGGAATTTCAGTGAAATTTTACAATTTTTTTCACAGATATATTACAGTTAGTAAATGTAGATGTTTGTAGTTTGATTAACAATCAACCTAGATCAAAGATAATGACTGAGCAAATATTGCAGTTTGATTCGCACACAGTGTCAATCACAGTTTTAAACTCAATGCCTTTAAAAAAAATTTTACCTTCTACAAATATTACAGTTTGATTCACATACACTTTCAACCCAACCCCAGTTTTAAACTCAATACCTTTATAAAAAAAATGTACCTTCTACATTCCCTTAAATAACCTTAAAGGTAATCAACATTCAAAATAAGAGAGTTCATGTGAGTAATAAGAGGTACTCACATGAACTCTCTTATTCTGTAACACGAACACCACACTTCAGTGTAGGGACTTTCGTCGTTGCTCCGTCAGATAAGCTTGGAATTCAACTGATCATGATCTGGCGATAACGTACCTTCGGTGTTCAATTCTTGCTGGGCTCTGTCGAACTTCCAGCGGCGAACGTTTTGCTGTTATCTCGGAGAACTATACCTCAAATATAACATTTTCATCAAGCTGTTCTGCGGAAGCCATGGCACTGTCTTGCCAAAAAATCTTTACAATGTTTACACTATCTTCACGTAATTAGCGAGATCCATAATCTATATCCCTCCCACCACTTATATAAGTCTGTAATACTACAGACAATTATCAGATCAGACTGCGAACATAAAGGTATGAAAACCTTCATTTTCATGCAAAAAACTGATTACAACAATCATCAGAGGAACATCGTTATTAAATTGTCCGTCTCTCGCTCCCAAGAATTGTTTTTGACCAGTTCCACACAAGCGAAAAAAGCACCCAGGCAAAAATCTCTGCGGAATATTAAAATTTTTAGTGGAATTTAATAGTTACTTCGGAAGATGGGTAGCTTCAGGACACTGGTTCCTGTCGAAAAGATCTGGATAAGGTTGACCAAGATTCACAACGACAAATGAAGATTATTATTTGGCACTTTTAACGCAGTGACACAGGACTGCTACAGCTTCACGGCTTTCCCATGAGCTGTATGCTACCACTGAAACCCGAGTTTCACTGTTTATAGTTGGCTGAAGGCTTGATGTGATAGGGTTGTATGCAAGAAGACCCGCTGTTTGTATCCCACTCATTGATTAACACTCAACCTAGATCAAAGATAATGACTGAGCAAATATTGCAGTTTGATTCGCCATGGCACTGTCTTGCCAAAAAATTTCGTTTCAGTACTCAACAAAGTGCAGACAACACGCGTCTTGGACAAGACTTCAGTAAAGTGCCATATTTTTTACAGATGAGTCGAGATATCACCGATATTATATTGTTCGGTTGATGCACATGCTTTCTAACATATCTGTTGTTCTCAGCATAGATTGTCCATTAGTAAAAGTAATGCACATTACTCAGTAATAATAGAAGAGAATTCGTGTTTTTGATTTCGGTTATTTGTATA